CTCCAAAGACATGACAATAGAGACTCATTGGGAATTAGAGTAATATGAAGTACGAGAACCAGACGATTTTATTATGTGTGTATATATATATATATTAATATATTACGATTTACTATACTAAAAAGGCTTTTTTTGTGCTGTCTAATGAGCCATGTGTCAAAACAGTGTGCTTTTCAAGTTTTCAGGCATTTACCCTGCCAATATTTATATTGTTGTGTTCTTTTTTACTCATTTATTTATTAATTTTGTGTGTGCTGCAGGAATTTTCTGCAGCGAGGTGGATCAGAACCGGTACGTTCTGCCAGAGATACAGGAGCGGCTTGCTGAGAGTCTGAGACTACCTCAGTCACCAGTCGTACACGAGCAAATCTTCCTGTTTTTCCGTGTGCTTACTTTGCGCATGTCGGCGCAGCATTTGACACCATTGTGGCCAACGATTGTATTAGAAGTTGTACACGTGTTACTTCAAATGGAAAGTGACCTGGGTTCTGACGGTAAGTCACACAAGCAAAGAATGGTTGTATCCGAATTACTTCTCGGCTCAAATGGGTATGTGAACTACAGTCAGGAAAAGTGGCTTGGGTTGTACATTGCGGTGTGCAAACTTCTCGATCTGTCCCAGGCTCTGCCTAGTGATTATTCATAACAGTTTTAACTCTATCGCTGGGCGTTCGATGGGGAGGCGTATAACATGACCGCTGGAGAGGAAAGGTTCCAGTTTTCAAGTGTCATATAGTTTGTTGGGACAAACTTCTCCAGAAGAGGATAAGAGATCAAGTTGATGACGAGGAGCTACAGCGTGCGCCAGGAGAACCGTTGCTGACCATGTGCCAGATCAAATCTTCGGGTCAGCTGCTTCTCTTCTTTAAGTGTTTGTCTAGGGACAGGTACTCTGGCTGCGGCGAGATGCGGGCCAAGAGTAGCAAGTCTAAATCCTCGCAAAGTAGAAGTTGATTGAAACGCGTTGTTGAAAGGGACTTCCTCGAACCTTTTGTGGTGGACTGAAACCTTCAAACGAAACACTTCACGGTGTGCACACCTTCGTGATTTTCTTTATTTACAATCCGTCTTGAACCTCTCCATTCTTATTTTGGCTTACTACTACATCTTTGGTGTTTGTTTACTCCAGCAAATGATTATCTTAATGTTTCATACGATTTAAAGGCCGCTGTACATGGCGCGTAAATTGATTCGAACTAATGTGATGAACTACTCTCTTTAGCCAAAATCTCCGTTTCTGCGATCAGTGCGATTTGTTCTGGTAAAGACCACAGGAAATTAAAAAAAAAAAAGAAAAACGAAAGAAAAATGTTAAGAAAAATGGCGGAAACGTAATTGACAACTAGTTTGGAACGGATTACGACTATGGCGGGGGTCAGCAGTGGATTGTATAGAGAATAATACATGGGCGCGCGTAGATATGGAATTTCTCTTCGAGTGTTTAACTCGATAGCTCACGAGTGAGATGTCGAGTTGAACACGAGAAGAGAAATTTCATAGCTACAAGCAACCACGTATTAATTTGTTTATCATATAAACACAATAGCCCTTTTTTGGGAAGAAAAGCCCACTTCATTAATGAATGAAATAAATGAATCGACAATCCTCGAATAACAATCGTAGAGTGCGTTGGCGCTGACTCTTAAGATGGAAAAATGCATTGAATCATGATTACAAAAACAACAATGGGTGTAATTTTCGATTTACAAAATTCTCATGTAATGACTTTGTCCTTACCGACAGAAGAAGTCTTTCAGGTAAACGGCCAAAATCGGCCGATGGCAAATCCTCCGGTTGTCGATTTTCATTCTCAGCTGAGAGAAATGATAGCTTTTAAGTACGATGAAAATATGTTCTTGAGTAATCCAGTTTAGTACAAACTAATTAATTGTAGAGGTGGCAAGTATTTAATTTCCAAGAAGGGTATGAAGTATGCGAAGATTGCAATGAGAAAAACAAGATGTTCTAAATCGTTTTTATGTTATTTTTTTTTCTCGCATGACGCAGATGTCGCTGAAAGAAGTGTTGGTGAAATAACAAGCTGACCACGTCTAGTGGTTACTAGTGAAAAGAGCTTTGTGATTGTTTGAATTAATTATATGAACACTTTTTAATTTTTGTATTATTAAGTTAGACCCCCATTGGTGTTGAGAAAAGGACTCCACGTCGACTCACTTAGTGAATTAATAAATCTCCTTTAGGCAAAATCAAGGTATCGTGTTCAGCACCTTCATGAAGTAATTACAACATTATCCTGTCTTTTTCTTTCGATCTCTAAAAGCCTTATGAAAATGAAGCTCGATTACTCATTACTTAAAAAGACTTCTATTTGATAGGGCTGTTTTCGTGGATCTCAAAAGAGGGAACTCTCTGATGAACCATCTTTAAAATGCCTCGAGGAGCTCAAGTTCCTGTCGGCTGCGCCTCGAATGGATTTGTCGTGTTCTCTAAATTCCCATGCGCTTCATAGCTCGATGAACGATGCTGGGCCCACTCATGAACCAATGTGTTAGAAAAAGACTTGGTCAGTTAGGAGAAAATGCTCGTGGATTTTAAGATCACAAGGTGAAAATGAAAAAAACGCGGGTAAAATTGATGGCATTTTCAAAATTGAGCCCAGTGCATTTTTTAATGGTATCTGTCCATTGTGGTCACCAGAATTTCATTTTTGATTAACTTTTCTCACGACTTAATTTAACAGTTTTTACGCCTAACGTCTAAATTTTTTGGCTGTCTTACGGCTATCGGTTAACCCCACTGAGACAATCTTTTAGAGGGCGAAGCTTGCCACCTTAAGACTTCTTCTTTTAAGCTCGTGTCCATTTCTTTAACATATCAGTAACTATGACATCTTGTATCTTACTATCAGCAGTGTCAAAAATTTGTGAATCTCATACATTTCACTGAATCATATCCATATTGTCTATTACAAGTTATCAGTTACATGACTTGTTCAGTCACGTGAGACTTATGCAGACGCAGAGGGGGCCATGTAAACCTTTACCTTTGGGATAAAGAGTAGGGCAACTGTCGACGTGGCTGCCACGAACACGATCGATCTTTGAACCAGAGTCTCAAGGGGAGGATAAACCACAAACCCAACCACAATCGCCAAGCAAGAAAACATGAACATGTTGTACACTGCTAAGCCAATGCTCTTCGAATCGTTGAGCGAAGGATAATGCACGTTTCTGGTTTCCCAGGCCAAAAACACCCCGAAAATTAGCAGTATCCCTTTCAGTCCGCACAAAGACATCACCCAGGTATTATAATGGTGAGAAGTACACTGACGGGTTAACAGTTCCTCCACGAGGTCAGGGTCATTATTGTCAACCTGTAACAACGTACAAAAGTCTTGATTACCACAATTTATTCAATAAGCTAAATGATACACGGTTTTTGATAGGTACTGTCTTATAATCTATTGGGGGACAAACACGTAATGATGTTACCATTTCTGACACTTTGCGTTTTTATCGTATTCAAAAATAGATTACATTTTGTCGTGGGTCTGTACAGTACTAGATCACAAGAGATGTCAAATTGGTAAGAACATCAGGGAAACACTCAGCTGCACCATTTGTGCCGCTTTTGGCGTTCAAATTTAATACAATTTCGTCTCGTGACAAATGTTCAAATATGAGTTTCTGTTAGTCAACATAAATATTTGAGTGCTAGTGGAGACCGATAAATATTTTTTACTTTACTTTGTTCCCAGAAACAACAAATTAAACTGAACAGCAACAGAAACCAGATGATAGTGCATAATAAAAACTCCAGAATAGCACAACGCATGTGTGAACAATACCCATGACAACTCTTGCGAAAAATAACACTTTATATAATAAGCTTAGTTATGCACGCACTCTGATTGGTTCTCACTTATGATCTATTGGAGGGCAGACGTGTAGATGACGTCATTAAAACTTTTTTTTATTCTTTATTATACAAAACAAATAGATTCTAAGTTGCCGTACGTCTGTTCAGTAATAGATCACAGATGACGTCAAAATGTGGTAGGAACAAAAAAGTGGCACACGAGGCACGGCCGAGTGTGTCACTAATACTGTTGTTAAATATTTACCGTTTTGAAAATGTTCACGAATTTCGTCGTCAATGGGTCAATAGATGTCCAAGTTGACAGGAAGATGACGTCTATAAACCAACCGGCCATCAGTACTGCGAGAAGACTAGTACTACTCAAATTGCGGATCTAATTAAAATTTAAAAGAAAAATATTAGCTGACGCCTGCTTCAAGTCCATCCTTATTACAAAACAGGAATAACCTTTCCTCACCTCCTTTTTCAATTGATAGTTGGTAAATATTTTGTAAACTCTCCAGGTTTTAACAAAAATGCCACCAAAGGCGAAGGTAAAACTGGTGGTCAGAAGCCAGGCAGTAACCTAAAGATAAAAAAAGCCAAGCGTTATCCGACAATATTTTTAAAAAATTACTACCAGGAACAAGACACGACAAGCTATGCCAACAAGTAATTACTTTTAAGAAATGGCACATCTCATACTGCTTGTAACTTTAGATCGTCAGCTACTTTGCATTTGGTTACAAGTTCTCATTAAAATTTACTAAAATTGTTTAGGGATATCATTAAACAACCAAGAAAACAGCATGTATTTCAAATCCTCACGAACTATCTAAAAAACCTAGATTTATTTTATCAACTTATTATCGTCAATTATTTTAGTTAAGTTAGTGTCATAAAACACAGTCTTATTGAGTAAATACTGGAAAATCCCTTTAATTAGGCTATCAAAGGTACAGAAAACTCAAGGGGAAGATATAATTTCTTAGAAAAAGAAGAGTTTTTTAATCTTGACTTGCTACAAACACTTCTTACATTGCAAAGGAAAGCATGGTTCAAGTGTTCCGCTGAACCAGAACTACCGTGGGCCGATAAAAATACTTCCAAGTAAGCCAACATACATCCAATGACAGTAATGTTGTTGAAATTCGGAGATGACATTCTTATAAAACTGCAGAAAGAAAAAAGTCAAAACTCAACATATTCAGACTTTCCAAACCAAAATTAGGGTGTATACTTTCATCTTTTTAAATGAATTTCATCTACCTGTGAGGTAAACGTTTGAATACCTTTCCCTCTACAACCTCTCAGTTTCAATCGATTCAAATAGCCAATATTTTAAATGTAGAATTAAAAGTAGCATTTAACTGTAACATATTGGTCCGTGCATCTTACAGTGGACTGAATGACAATAATTTCATGTTAAGTCATACTCTTAACAAAAATGGAAACCAAAAATCTAATTGAAAGGCTGTTATGAGGTGGCTCGAGACACTTCACTT